CCCCAAAACCCCAAAACCCCAAAACCCCAAAACCCCAGATTTTACAACAAATATTGAAAATTGAGTCAATTTAATTAGTCTTCATAAGTTAGCCTCCTTCTTGTTGACTTGGATCTAGACCTGTTTCGTTTCACAGACCCTCTTGATGTGCTATATATTGTATTATAGCTCCTAGAATCTTGATTTCTGCTACCTCTCAAGCCTTTCCTCCTCCTAGAACCTTTCAGTTTTTTCAATCTCTTTAAAATTATATCTGGTTGTCTTCTCAATGGGGATTTTATTTCGGGATAATATTTATAAGGCAAATTTGAGTCCTTACTTCTGCTCAAACTTTCTTCATGAATTCTCTTAATCTTATTTGCTCTTCTTCTTATAAGCATACTTCATCTTTCTTTCCTCTTTAAGATCTTCTAGAGTAAGTTTAGAGTCTATACTACTCTTCTGGAGGAATGAGCTATATTCAGCAGAGTCTTCATCTGTCTGGCTGTAGCTAAGATCATGTATGTTAAGTTGGGATTGGTTAGGAGCAAATCTCACGCTTTTGTATTCATGTCCAGAACCTTTCTCATCTAATTCTGGCTCTTCTTTAATATTTATTGTCTGAGGATTAACGTAAGAAATTGGATGCGGCGTCTCTATACTCAGTTCTGGTGTGTGAGAATGATAAAACCGACTCTGATAATTATTTTCTAATTGATAAGGATAATTCTCTATTTGACCAGAAAAATTGTCTGTGCTTAAAAATTGCACAAAATCATCATAATCCACTTTTGAGTCTCCATTTGTGTCAATTCTCCTTATGATTGCAATCAATTCTTCCTTTGTTGCCATATGTTCATTTCATAACAAGAAATTTTTCAATGAAAAATGATCCAAAAATCCTTGATTAGTGATATCAACTAAATTAAACAGCTCTAGAGGGGTATATGAATGGTTGATATCTTGTAAAATATTACTTGCTATCCTGCTCATATCAATTTCTCTTTTGAACAAAGAAGCTAGCAATATTTCACAATCTTGAGGCATGATCCTATCATCAGGCCCAATTTCTCCAATAGAATACTTTGTCCTTTTCATGACATTTCTCAGCTCTTTATCATTAGAGGGTAACAAAATGAGCAAGAAGTCGTCGAAATAAAGTTTTCCTTTGCTGTTGCTGTCAAAATAATTGATTAAAATTTGTCACTCCTCAATCCGTACATCATCATGATAATTTTTGTGCAAAAATCAATGCAAATCATGAGCATCAATAAATTCCTTAAAACCTTCATCTTCGCTTTGGTTATAAATATTTGGAAAATCATAAAAGAGCTTATGACCTCTCCCATATTCTGTATACTTCTGGTACCGGATATCCTTAATTCTCAAAAAAGCTTTAAGAGGGTGGAAGCCATACTCCTGGCACAGGCTCTGCCTGTGCAGGTCAATGGATAATTCCTCATGAGAGATCTCTAAGAACAGCTTACAGAGAGATTTACTTGTCAAAGAGATAGACATTTCTAATTTTAACTGACAATCAATAAACAGATTATAATGAGGGGTTTTGGGGTTTTGGGGTTTTGGGGTTTTGGGGTTTTGGGG